CGATGCAAGACGAACAAGAGGATGAATGAAAGGGTGCGTGGATAGATGGATGGATGGATGGATGGATGGATGGATGGATGGATGGATGGATGGATGGAATGACAGTAGAACAAAAAAATGGATGGATGGACAGACGAAAGGGAGCGATGCAAGACGAACAATAGGATGGATGGATGGAAGGAAGGAATTTTTTTTTTATAGTAAATGGTTTTACGGCGCTCGCAACTGCATAAGGTCATATGAGCGCCAAGGGGTGGGTGTTAACAGAAAAGTCTTTACAGGGAATCAGACTTAGACTGCTCACCTCTCTAGCTTCAACAGCACAAGGTCTGCTTCGACTATCAAGGCACCCCAAAATAGCAGGTCACAAGAGAGTGACAAACATACAAAAAAAGTAGAGGAAAATGATAATAGTAAGGATCAGGAAAGAAAAAGCAGCAGTTCCCTGTTGTAGATCAGGCACAGTTATGAGCGTGAAATGAATCAGCCCATTTACAATTCTACTGTGCTTGAACGAGAAATGTCCCCCCTTTGGGAATGGCCTTCTAAAGACAATGGAAGGATGGATGGACTGATAGATGGATGGGTGTACAGTCGAATTAGAGGAGTAGAGGACGAACAAACGATGGATGGATGGATCAACAGACGAACAGGTGATTGGGTGACTGAGTAGGTGTTTTACGACACTATCGACTCAACGAACAGGTGGGATAGCGGACAAACAAATGACAGTTGGACGGATGGACGGACAAGACAAATATATGCACGACTCACCCAGATGGGGCCCATTAGGTTGACGCCAAACGTATGCTCTATCTGCTGGTCCGTCAGGTCCAGGAGCCGGCGACCGGCCACCACTCCGGCGCTGTTGACCAGCATGGTGACGTCACCGACCTCTGACCTCACCTTGTCAGCTGTTTCACGCACCGCGGCGCGATCGCTGTGGAAGAGAGGGGTATATTGTTTTTGGGGTTTTTTAAAATTCTATAGTAGTAGTATAGGATTTTACGGCGCTCGCAACTGCTAAGGTCATATGAGCGTGCGAAACACAAGTTGTTTACTTTCGCAAAAGTTCGCTGCACGATTGGTTAACTAA